ATAGAGAGCCCCAAAATGTGCATCACTGACCTCCAAAAAAAAAAAAAAAATTCCCTCTCTCGAGGAGTTTGAGAAGTTTCATCATTGGCAATCCTTCTCCATCACTTTCTGAACGTCACAGCCATCACTGTCTCCAAGTCTCGCAGACCGCGCCTCTATTCTGCTCTGTTTTTTTCTGATCAGAGTGACCGAGGTGCTTTGCGTTTGCTCGATCCTTCTTCGCCGGCAGCGATCACCATCGCCGATGTCTCTAGGACATCAGCTCTCTAGTTTGATCGTCTTTTGTGACCAACAATTGCACCTTCAAGGCCATATCCACCACCACACGTAAGTCCTGTGTTCTGCCTTGCTTCTTGGCCGAGGACTATGAAGTACCTTAAGCTCGTTCATTACTCCCTCGCTGACTTTGATCTCCATCGTCCACACTTCCAGGAGCTTCTTTTTCCAACTTGATTGTTAACCGTAACATCCGTCCATCTGTATTGGGGGCCAAATCGAAAAGGTTTGGATTTGGTGTTTTGGTTGATTTAGGGTTTTCGATTTGGGAATTTCCTTGCAAATTGCAATTTGGAGTTTATTTTTTGGGACAGAACACATAGATGACGATTTGGGCTTTACATGCTGAATGGGCACGCTACCGAGTCACGTCGAATGGAGAAATTAATTAAAAAATGACCATGTCATATTTCCGATGACGATGTGTCACGCCTCATACCCCACAAAGCGCGATCATCTCACCGAAGGTCGTAATGGTGCGATGTCCCCAGGTTACGTCACCGACCCAGCATCCAACGCACAGAGACCAATGCACATGCGGAAGCAACGTATATATATATATTATATATACACCCGTACAATAAACAAGATAACCAAGGATAGCACAGCACTGGAATTTAGCAGGAGTAAAAACATTTTACATTACAGCAGAAATTTATACAATATCCATTACAAGAAAAGCAACTACAAGACAAACTGAGCAACAGCCATTGAACAAAAAGGATGGTGGCCCGGGATACTAAACTAAGGCGGGGCTTGGTCAAAAAGGGTGCGACATGCATAGACATAGTCTTCTCGATGAACTGGGGAATCCCAAAATGGATTGGCGCCTCTGCCATCCTCACTACCGGGGATCTGAAAAGTCGGTTTCCAACAACCGTGAGACGAATCTCAGCAAGTAAATAACCCATAAACCTAAACTAGGCTAACATGCACCTCCTGACAGGCGAATGAAACACGCATAATAGTACAGCATAAACATCACAATAATTGACCTAGGCTCGTGGCCCAGATCATTCATACTACGACCCTGCAGGTTAGACATTTTCTAACAATATTCACGTGCAATTCACCGAATATGCACACGGCTAACATACTCGGCACACAATTGCTATTTTCATGAATAAAATAATTATTTCGACCCGAAGGCCAACAGGTATATCGACCCGAAAGCCACGACCGAAGGTCAACAAATATATCGACCCGAAGGCCACGACCCGAAGGCCAACAAATATATCGACCCGAAGGACACGACCCGAAGGCCAACAAATATTCACATCAGGTACGTGCACTTTCGCACTCACAATTCCAGCCATATCAAAGCACATTATGCGAAATCGCATATAATAGCATTCAAGTCAATTATAAACATACAATTCACTAACGCCAATATGTGCCCAAGTATAATTCGTCATAACTCGACCAATTCAATACATTGTCGGCACGCCCAATTCATTCCGTTTTAGCCCATTGAAACTCGGCATTCAATGCATGGTTTAAACCCGAGACCAATTTATATAATTCAAGTCCGTCATTAACCAATCAATTTCGGCTATTATACCAACAACAGGGACTCACACAATTTAACCCAAACAAGTCCCATTTAGCCATTGGATCACCCAAATTAAGCAACCACAACAAAAATCCAATTAATCCCAACTTAAACAATTTTAATCCAAATTCGGTTCTGGTGTGAATAGTACCAGAACAGCCCACATTTGGGCATTAAATCACATCTAAATCATCATGCTAGGCTCCAATTAAACCCCACAATTATCCAATACACATTCATCTATGGATAGACCATAATCGCGTCTAATTAAACCCTAATTCACCCATTTAAAGTGCAAATTAAACTAATTTGGATTTAGGGATTTAATAATCGCCTAAACCGATTCGAGTCGACGGGAACGAGCGGCCAATCGCCGGTGGACAGCAAGATCGGCGGCGGCGTTCCGACGGCGACAACTCACGGCGGCGTACGGATAGCGCGTACGGATGGCAACGTACGAACGGCGTACGGACGGAGACATACGAACGGCTAAGGCGTCACGGCGGCAGCAGCTCGGCTGGACGGTGCTTCGGCGATGGCTGGTCGGTCTTCACGGCGGCGATGGGAGGAAACGGTGATGAAGAAAATGAAAGGAAGAAAGGAGAAGGAGGAGGAAATGGCGTGGAAGGAATGAACGGGGGAGGAGAATGGCCGGAGGAGAGAGAGAAAGGGGTCAAAGTTGGGTCAAATATCCCTTAGTGGATTACACATGTCATCATCCTAGCCCCCTTGACCATTTTACCCTTGATCCAATGGCATTAATTCATCTCAATCCAATAATTTAGGGGCATAATGGTAATTCAATAAATCTTAACAATTATCCTCTTAATAAATCCTCAATTATTGCCTAAAAATTGATCCAAAATTCGGAATGGGGAAATTAGGGCACACGGGCATTTTTGTAATTTTCCGGTCCCGGGTCGAAATTCCATTTTTCGACCGTACACACTCCAAATATGCGTGGCCACCCTAAAATGGCATCGGCCTTGAAAAATAACCTCATACGGCCTTGAAAATCGACGTCGGAGTCCAGAAGGGCAAAATCGTAATTTTTCCGATTTCGGCCGAAATTCCGATTTTCGACTGTACTAGCCCCAAATGTATGTGGCCACACCAAAACGACATCGGCCATGAAAAATAGTCGCGTACGACTTCAAAAACCAACGTCAGGGTCTGGAGGGGTAAAATCGTAATTTTTCACTTCCGGGCCGAAATTCCATTTTTCGACCATACCCACTCTAAACATGCGTGGCCACTCTAAAATTACATTGGCCTTGCAAAATAGTCATAAACGTCCATGAAATTTTGACATCGAAGTTCGGGTCCAATTTTGTGATCAAATTCGCTCATTTTAAAATTTTAGGGCCTCTCACTAACGGGCGACTGTTTAGGAGTTACGCGTATCGACCTAGGGTTGTCCGAGTCGTGATAACCTCAATTTTCGGCAGGACGCGAGGAGTTATCACTAGTGCCGGAGGTCGCGATCGTTCGGATTAAATTCGGGATTCGTTCGCCACGTGTACTCTCGGTCGTGCGGAATCACCCGCGATCCGATCGTACGTCGTTGGCTAAATCGAATCCGTCACTTTCCTAAGATCTGCCCACATTGGCCCAAAATATTTCCTCGGCGATTCTCGGAATCAGTGCCCAATTCGCGATTGGATCCCCGGTCCACGTACCGTTTTTCCTATTTAGCCATTCCCATTGGGTTAGTATCCCATGAGTGATCAGCTCTGGGCAAGACTTACTAAAATTAAACGAGAATTAATATACACTTTATTGGTCCCGGAAACAAGTCGAAATTCGGGATGTTACAACTTTTCCCCCCTTACAAAAATTTCGTCCTCGAAATTTGTAATCTAAACTTACTTTTCAAACAAGTGGGGGTGTTGACGTCGCATGGCCTCTTCACTTTCCCACGTGGCCCCTTCCGTTCCATGGTGTTCCCACACGACTTTGACCATCGGGATCGTCTTGTTCCTCAGTACGCGTTCCTTTCTGTCTTCGATCCGTACTGGTCTTTCCACGTATGACACTCTGTCATCCACGTCTATCTCTTCGTACCTTAGAACGTGGGTCGGGTCTGGCTCATACCTTCTCAACATCGACACGTGAAAAACGTTGTGTACTTGGGATAGGTTAGGTGGCAAGGCAAGTATGTACGCCATGTCGCCAATCTTTTCTAGAATTTCAAACGGTCCAATAAACCTTGGACTCAGCTTTCCTTTCTTACCGAATCGGGATAACCCTTTCATTGGTGACACCTTAAGGAATACGTGATCTCCGACTTGGAATTCCAAAGGTCGTCGTCTCCGATCGGCGTAGCTTTTCTGGCGACTTTGGGCTGTCTTCAGCCTTTCCCGAATGATTTCGACAGCTTCCACTGTCTGCTGTACCAACTCTGGGCCAGTAATAGTTCGCTCACCAACCTCGTCCCAACACACGGGAGTCCTGCATGCCCTACCATACAAGGCTTCAAATGGGGCCATCTGGATACTCTGCTGGTAGCTGTTGTTATACGCAAACTCTAGCAAATGTAGTTGTTCTTCCCATTTACCTTGAAAGTCCAACACACAGGCTCTCAACATATCCTCAAGTGTCTGTATTGTCCTTTTCGATTGACCATCTATTTGCGGATGGTAGGCCGTACTGAATTGTACTTTCGTTCCCAAGGCTGTCTGCAAACTCCTCCAAAATTTGCTGTAAACCTCGGGTCACGATCCGAAGTGATCGTTACCGGTACTCCATGCAGACGAACGATCTGCCGCACATATAGTTCGTCGTACCTTTCCAACTCGAAGTTTTTTCGCACTGCCAGGAAGTGCGCTGACTTAGTAAGTCGATCCACTATCACCCATATGGAATCGTGTCCTCTCTAGTTTCTCGGTAGCCCCGTCACGAGATCCATGGTGATGTGTTCCCACTTCCATTCTGGGATTTCTAACGGTCACAGCAGTCCTCTAGGCTTGCAGTGTTGTGCCTTCACTTGTTGGCACATCAAACACTTGGCCACATGTTTGGCCACGTCTTTCTTCATTCCATTCCACCAATAATGCTGCCGCAGGTTCTGGTACATTTTCGTGCTGCCAGGGTGGATACTGTAATTGCTGCGGTGAGCTTCTCTTAGAATTTCCTCCTTAAGCTCGGTATCATCGGGCACACACCAACGCCCTCAAAATTTCAAAATCCCATCATCAGACACTTGAAAATCTGACTTCCTCGTAGCGGCATCCATTTCCACAATCCTTTGAATTTCCTGATCCGTGGACTGTAGGCCCTTAATCTTGGTCTGAATCTCCGGCTCGATTCTCAGTGTAGCCAACAGGTTCGACACATGGCTCAACTCAAATTTAAACTCTGAATCTCTGAGCCTTTCTAGTAAACTCCATTCTTTGATCATCATGTGCGCCATACTCGACTTGCGACTTAGCGCATCCGTTACTCGATTCGCTTTCCCAGGGTGGTACATGATGTCACAGTCATAGTCTTTCAGAAGTTCCATCCACCTGCGCTGTTTCATATTCAACTCCTTCTGCGAGAATAAGTACTTGAGGCTCTGGTGATCCGTGTAAATCTGGAACTTTTCCCCGCACAAATAGTACCTCCAAATCTTGAGTGCGAAAACAATAGCAGCCAGCTTCAAATCGTGCGTCGGGTACTTCATCTCATGTGGCCTCAATTGGCGCGACGCATACGCGACTACTTTTCCGTATTGCATTAACACACAACCAAGTCCCCTTAATGAAACATCACTATAAACCTCGAATCCTCCTGGCCCGGATGGAATAGTCAATACCGGGGCAGTTGTAAGCCTATGCTTCAATTCCTGAAAACTTTTCTCGCACTTATCATCCCATTCAAACTTAGATTCCTTCTTAAGCAATCGCGTCAACGGCATGGCTATCGATGAGAACCCTTCTACAAAACGCCGATAATAACCGGCTAATCCTAAGAAACTTCGAATTTCTGTCACTGAGGTCGGTCTTGGTCACTTCATTACTACCTCAATCTTAGTTGGGTCTACAGAAATTCCATCTCCCGAAACTATGTGTCCAAGAAATGCCACTCTACTTAGCCAAAATTCGCACTTACTGAACTTAGCGAAGAGTGCGTGTTCTCTCAAAGTCCGTAGTACCTCAGCCAAATGCACTTCGTGTTCCTCCGGGCTCTTCGAATACACCAGTATATCGTCAATGAATACTATGACGAACATGTCTAAGAACTCCTTGAACACCCTGTTCATTAGATCCATGAAAGCTGCAGGAGCATTGGTCAATCCGAAGGGCATCACCGTAAACTCGTAGTGCCCATACCGCGTCCTAAAAGCGGTCATAGGAATGTCCTCCTTTCGGATTCTCAGCTGATGGTATCCAGTCCGCAAATCAATCTTAGAAAACATGGATGCTCCTTGCAACTGATCAAATAGGTCATCGATCCTCAGCAGTGGATACTTATTCTTGATCGTCACTTGATTCAACTGCCGGTAATCAATGCACAATCTCAATGTCCCGTCCTTTTTCCTTACAAACAGGACCGGTGCTCCCCATGGAGACACACTAGGACGAATGAATCCTTTGTCCAACAATTCCTGTATCTGGACCTTCAACTCTTTCAGATCTAATAAGGACATCCGATAGGGAGCCTTAGAGATTGGCTCGGTACCTGGGGCCAACTCTATTACAAATTCCACTTCCCGCTCTGGCGGTAAACCCGGCAATTCCTGAGGAAAGACCTCGGGGAAATTGCAAACTACGGGTATTTCTTCCAAATTAGGTTCCGCCACTGTCGGATCCATTACATTCACCAGATATCCCTCGCAACCTTCATCGAGCAACTTAGTCACCTCAAGCGAGGAAATCCAAGGAATCGAGGTTCCTCCTCGGTTTCCCTGGAATTCAAACCTAGGATGTCCAATCGGGTTAAACTGGATCATCCTACTGCCGCAATCCATAACGGCTTTCTGTTTCATCAACCAATCCATGCCGATGATCACATCGAAATCATACATGGCCAATATAGCTAAATCAATTCTATCTTCTCTATCCCCAATCACAATTTTACAGCCAAGACACCCCATCGATACTAACACCCTATCATGCAGTGGGGTCGACACACAGAGCATATTTTCAAGCAATACTGGTTCAATACCAACCAACCTAACAAACTGCTCTGAAATAAATGAATGGGTCGCCTCGGGATCAAATAAAGCATATACAGCATGATCACAGAGAGAAGTGGTACCTGTGACCACGCCCGGCGCATCCTCAGCATCCTTACGTGCCATTGCATAGACCCTGCCTTGTGCGGGAGGTCTTCCTTGAATAGCCGGTGAGGGATTCCCGGCTTGATTCCCAACTCTGGGTGGTTGTTGCATCGGGGGTCCTGAAGGGCGCTGTTGGGGACAACTCTTAATTTGGTGTTCCAAACTCCCATATTGAAAGCCAGCCCCAAATCCGTTCGGTTGATGGTTAGGCTTCCCGATGTTCCTCCTAGGCGGTGGGACAAATCGCCTATTACCCGTCATCGGTTTCTTGCCAAAGCGGCGATTGTCCCTGTTCTGAGCAAACCGCGACCCAGATGCGACTGCTCTTTCCATCTGATCTCGTTCCATTATTTGGGTTCGCTCATACAATTCTCTGTAATCTCGAATGTTCAATAGGAGCATCTGAGTACGAAGATCTGGTTTCAAACCATCCCGAAATCTTCGAGCCTTGTCCAGTGGATTTTCCACCATTCTCGGAGCAAACCTCGATAGTCTCGCAAACTCTGCCTCATACTGGACTATCGTCATTGATCCTTGACGAAGTCTCATGAACTCTGCCATTTTCTTCTCCTGGGCACTCTCCGAAAAGTATTGCCCGTAAAAGCTCTCAACAAATGCAGTCCAGGTCTGGTCTACACCCTCGGGAAACACCCTATCTTTGATGGCTTTCCACCAGTCATTTGCATTATCCTGCAATTGGTATGTTGCCAGAGTAATCTTCTCGGTTTCAGTGCACCCCAGTAAATCAAACGCCTTTTCTAACTCTTCCACCCAACGTGGGGCGGTTTCGGGGTCACCTCGACCCGTAAACTTGGGCGGTTTCAACTTAAGAAATTGCTCTACCAGCTGGTGCATCTGCCGATTTGCCACCACTGGTTGAGCTTGTTCTTGCTGGGCTTGATTCCCATTAATAGCAGCAGTTGCTGCAGCCACAGCAGCCTCGGCAATCGTAGCGGCCCTTTCCTGAGCCTGCCTACCCATAAAATTTCCCATCTCGTGTAGGGTCTGAATAACGTCCTCTAGTCTGCGGTCTCGGGCCTCTTGGCCTCCTGAACTCGACTGACCCTAGGGTTCCTTTCCCCTTCTCCTACTCATCTTTCCAATCCCCGATACTCAACTACCTGCTGTAATTCCGTTCAGGAATTAGAGACCTAAACCAACTAAACCGGTCTAAGTCCTGGCAGGTATCTAACACAATAACAACCAAGCACTCAGCATGCGGCCTAGCTCAACAGCACATGATTCCACCCAAGGGATTTCGTACACTCACCTCGGGTCCCGCCGCACCTACATCATATGGGTCAATTCCAACCAAACAATGCAAACACAAACAGTCAGGAGGTACACTTAGCACATGAGGTCACCCTACTGGCTACCCAAGGTCTCATCGCTCCTTATCACTCCAGGTTTCGACCTAATTGGACCGAGCTGACCTTGCTCTGATACCAATTCAAACGGGGATGTCACGCCCCGTACCCCACGAAGCACGATCATCTCACCTAAGGTCGTAATGGTGCGACGTCCCTAGGTTACGTCACCGACCCAGCATCCAACGCACAGAGACCAATGCACATGCGGAAGCAACGTATATATATATTATATATACACCCGTACAATAAACAAGACAACCAAGGATAGCAAAGCACTGGAATTTAGCAGGAGTAAAAACATTTTACATTACTGCAGAAATTTATACAATATCCATTACAAGAAAAGCAACTACAAGACAAACTGAGCAACAGCCATTGAATAAAAAGGATGGTGGCCCGGGGATACTAAACTAAGGCGGGGCTTGGTAAAAAAGGGTGCGACATGCATAGACATAGTCTTCTCGATGAACTGGGGAATCCCAAAACGGATTGGCGCCTCTGCCATCCTCACTACCGGGGATCTGAAAAGTCGGTTTCCAACAACCGTGAGACGAATCTCAGCAAGTAAATAACCCCTAAACCTAAACTAGGCTAACATGCACATCCTGACAGGCGAATGAAACACGCATAATAGTACAGCATGAACATCACAATAATTGACCTAGGCTCGTGGCCCAGATCATTCATGCTACAACCCCGCAGGTTAGACATTTTCTAACAATATTTGTGACATCCTGAAAAGTAGTCCATTTGGGATTTGTAAAATACTGAGTTTTATGAATGTACTCGCAGTTAGTTCTCGCCCGGAACTGATCGTTCCTGGGATGCTAACCATTAGGGAAAGGCTAATCGGGGAAATTAAATTCGTACGACTAAATAAAATTCGATCGTGGATTGACTTTCGACCATTAAATCGTCGAGGTGATATTTTGAGCCACTGTTAGCCGATCTAAGGAGAGTCAGGGGTCAGTTCGCCACTGTCATAGTAGTGGATCGCGGGTGATACCGCTGGACCACTAAATGAATTGACGAACGATCCTGAACCTATACCGAACGATCGTGCCCCACGGATCTAGTAATTGATCCTCGCGATTTTATTGACAACCGAAGTTGTGACGGTCTGAATAAATTGCACGTGACTCGATTTAGTGTCAGTCACGGGTCGAATAAGCGAATTTCCCCAACAAGCCGCCTGTTAGTTTGAGAAACGCTCGAGTTACGTTTAATAGAATTGAATTATTTAATTCAGCCCAAATCGGACACCGGAAAATTTGGAAGTCACAACGGGACGTTAGGACGACGTTGCGGTTGTAGCGTGTAATTTTTGTTGTGCCCAAATCCTTCAAAAAAACTTGATTTTGATGAGAAACGGAGAAAGTGACCAAAATGCCCCTAAGAGTTAATAAAGGATTAGTTTTGTTGGACAAGGGCATTTTGGTCATCTTAGGCCCAAAGTTGGAAAAGGCATAATTACCCTTGGATATTTTTAAGTAAGATTCAATCCTAACCGTTGATTTTTAGATTGGATCGAATCTCGGCCGTCGGATTAAAAAGATTAGAGAGGGGTATTTTGGTAAATTACCCAAAAAGTGGTCAAAATTAGATAATTAGCCCTTGACCCCCTTTCTCTCTCTCCTCTCTCTCTTCTTTCTCCCCTCTCTATCGTGAAATCCCTTCCCCCTTTTTGCCGTGAAGCCCCCCCTTCGATCTCTCTTTCTCTCTCGCCAGACGCCTCACCGACCGTACACCGCCGCCGTCGCCGGACCGCCACCGTGCCGCGCCGTCCTCGTTGCCGCACCCCCATCCCGCCATCCGTCTCTCTCTCCCTTTCGGTCCTCCCTTGGCCATGAGCCTCACCGGCCACCGCCCAAGCCGCGCCGTCGCCACCCAAGCCGATCGCCGCCACCCGGGAGCCGTACGTCGTCGCCGCCGTTCCCGATTAAGTGCCGCCGCTTTCCGTTCTAGCCGCGATAGTCTAGAACACGGGTAAGTCGCGCTCTAAACCCAATTTAGGACTTCGGGTATCGACGGGCGATTTTTGGGCGAAATCTGGTAAAAGTTAGGTGCGGAATTGCGTGAATAGGGAGTGGAAATTTTATGGCGGGCCTTAGGATTTAACTCGGGCAATATTTATTGGAAATTCGAAAATAACAGTGGCTGTGGTCTACTGTTCATGGGGCCGTGATGGGCCGATCAGGACGCGAGTTGGATTTTTAGAATCCGAGAATTTATGGTGAGAAAGTCCCGTGAAGGACCGGAAGCGATTTGGCGTCATTTGGTGCGAGAAAAATAATGATTTCTGTGTTTAACGTGCGTTTGAAAATAATTAGATTGTGGTGGTGAAATTAAATGTGTGATTGTGTGATTGGTTGAGTTAATTATGTTTGTTGGGTGCATGCTTGGGCCAGATTGTTTTAATTATTAAAATTGGCCGTGTTGAATGCTGAGTGAGCATGGTTGTGTACAATTGTTGCGTGCACGGGTCACGTGCGATTGACCAGTTATGTAGCAAGTGATTGTTGCACGTATGAAAGAACGAGAAATAGTGCATGGTACGGTATGTGAAATCGTGGAAATTGTGCCGTCCTGAGGCGTGTACGTTTACCCGGGACGATGCCCGGTATTACCGGAAGACTGCCAGCCTGAGGCGTGTACTTTAACGCGGGTTGTGCAGTAGGTGGTAGGTGTTGAGCCTGAGGCGTGTACGTTTACGCGGGCAAGAAACATGGCCTGAGGCGTGTACGTTTACGCGGGCCCGGAAGTGATGTGAAAAGAGGTCGCAGTGTACCTGAGGCGTGTACGTGTACGCGGGTCACTGGCGAGGAATGTGGATGAGATATGATGAGAATGGAATGAGTGCATGACATGAGAATTGTGCATGCTTGTGATTGTGTTGATGTACCTGCTATGTGATGATGGTATGTGTGTGATTGTGTGTTTGGGTGATTGTCTGGAGGTACGTGATAGCTTAGGTGGGGTTTAGGGGTGAACTTGCTGAGAAGTGTTCTCATGGTTGTTTCAATCAACATTTCAGAACCACGACCTGAGCCATGAACCCGCCGCCGCCACCAGAACGTTTTGGAGTACCTGTGCACACCGAGCTAGAACTCTTAGAGTTTCCGATGGGTGATGGTATGACCTGGATTAAGCACACTACTACCGTTTTCATAGAAGTAGGTTTACTCCTTTGGGAGGAACAGAAGTACACCGCCTAGTTCTTCCGGGATGCTGACGGGGCTGAGTTCGAGCCCGTTAGAGGATTCGATGTTCCGTTTGATTTAGTTGGGGATTGGGACCCGACTGCTGTGCCCCCGATTGATGGAGAGTTGACTAGTACGGAAGTTAGCGTAGCGCAGTCTGGGATGCATCCAGCACCAGCCGCTCAGGGATCTTCGGAGGCTGAGTATGAGCCCGAGCCCGAAGCATCGCAAGCTGAGGATGACCCGATGGATATAGATTTAGAACCAATCCCTGAGGAGGAACCAGAGGAGAAGGAACCAGATGAGGAGGAACCTGAAGAGGTGGAGCCCGAGGTAGAGCCTGAGGTCGAGTCTGAGGAGTCGGATGAGCCGGCAGGAGATCCGGAATATATACTCCCGTTTGAGGAATATATGGATCCCAATTACGTGCCTGAGTATAATTTCTTCGATTTTCTGGCTGAGGAGTATCAGAATGCAACTCTAGCTGAGTCGGGCGACATCAATCACCCGATTGTGATCGAAGCAGAACCGGAGTCCTCAGAGGAGCAAACTGTTCAAGGGAGTTCGGATTCAGATGGTGATGAATCAGACTCGGAGTGGACGCCGAGTAAGGGCCGTAGGGATTAGTACATAGGTCTAATTAGAGTTTTTGAGGTGTACCATTTTTGGAAGTTAGGACGCCAAGTCATCTAGTCCTTTTGTTATCGGAGGTGGACAGTACGGTGTGCACTTGTATATTAAGATTGTAATTGTGAATATTCTATAAGTTGGTAATGAAAAGAAATATGTGCATTCTCCCTGAATGTTTTCCCGAGTTTTATATTGTCCGGGATTATTTGTTGTATCCGCTGTGGCTTTAAATCTCTAATGGCGTTTTGAGGTCGGCGACATTCCTGGGACGTCGCATAGATCGACCAGGTAAGGGTGTCGCGTGCCCGATGGGGCTCGAGGCGTGACAATATTCATGTGCAATTCACCGAATATGCACACGGCTAACATACTCGGCACACAATTGCTATTTTCATGAATAAAACAATTATTCCGACCCGAAGGCCAACAGGTATATCAACCTGAAGGCCACGACCCGAAGGCCAACAAATATATCGACCCGAAGGCCACGACCCGAAGGCCAACAAATATATCCACCCGAAGGCCACGACCCGAAGGCCAACAAATATATCGACCCGAAGGCCACGACCCGAAAGCCAACAAATATTCACATCAGGTACGTGCACTTTCGCACTCACAATTCCAGCCATATCAAAGCACATTATGCGAAATCGCATATAATGGCATTCAAGTCAATTATAAACATACAATTCACTAACGCCAATATGTGCCCAAGTATAATTTGTCATAACTCGACCAATTCAATACATTGTCGGCACGCCCAATTCATTCCGTTTTAGCCCATTGAAACTCG